GGATGTACCATAGGAAACTGAATGCTCTGCCTCTGTCCTCACAACCAGATCCCAATCCAGGGAGCTCATTCAGGGATTGTCCTGAACTGCTTAAGAGTGTCAATATTTTGCAAAGAGGGGGAAAGCAATACATCTTGCTAAAAGATGAACTTAGAAACATTTAAATTGCTTCCTAATCACTCCCTTGAATGCCTTTTCTTGAGGAAATGGCAGGGAATAAATTAAATAATTTATGTGAAAGGATAAAAACAGTAACAGGAGTGTTGCTTTGACAAGGGTAAAAAATTTAAAGTATCATGCACCTTATGAATGGATCCAGAAAAAAGATCCTTGGTTGTGGGGGGAGAGATTTATTGATAACTTACCTACCTAAAATGTATTCTTATGCACCACACATTTACATTCCTTGCTCTGCTATGAAAAGAGATCATGCAAATTAGTAATTTAACTGCAGTAGGCAAATTCTCCAGCTGGGAAAAGAGAAAACTTACCATTTATGACAAAGCACATGGAAGGATCCCACCATGCAGCATTTTTGGGAGAGAACCAAGGACGTATGCACAGTCGCTAGTATTAGCACTTTAATACCACTTTAACTGCCATGGTCTCATCCTGCAGAATCCTGGCGTTTTCAATTTGGTGAGAGACTTAGCCAAGAAGCTGCAGTGCAATCCCCCCAGACTAACTACAGGGCACAATTCATTACTGGATTACATTTGGAAAATCACATTTTGGAAATATTGTGCATAGTAATAACTGTAGATATTTGCTGACAACAAACTGTGAAAAGGTGTGTCTTGTGATCATGGGGTAAAATAGCTGAAGTCTTTTTGAGGAGAAACATGTGTTGCCGGTCCTCCTCAGAGTGACTCAGACTCATCCATGCAACCGAATGGCTTGCTTGGTGGAACAAGACCATGCAATTTTGTTCAGGTTACCTAAGAGTAGGGTTGCCAGATGTCAGGCGTTTTGTTCAGGTCACCTAAGAGACATAAAGCTCTGTCTAAGGTCTTTCTCCTGAGATTGTGCAGAACTGATAATACAGTCCTGTTGGGGTTTATTCCCAACAAGTGAAAATTACATCTGATAAACATGCATGTCAAACTTTACGTGGCTCACAGCCTTGCACTGCATGCACTGTATAGATTCACTTGACCATTGTCTGAGGTCCAGATTCAAAGCCAAGAAAACTTATATTTTGTCCTACAACTCTCATTATCCCAGTGGCCATGTTGGGAGCTGTAATCGAGAGAGAGAGAGAGAGAGAGAGTATATTTTTCAGGCTCTAGATGGGTAAGGAGTGAGGTCAGATAAGAGTGTGGCTGTGTATCCCTGTGTTTCTTGGTTGTTTATTAAAAGCACTGATGGAGAGCATTACATTTCTTGGACTGCAACTCCCAGAATATGCCAACCAAGGTGGACATGAATCATGCTGGTGAGATTTATGCAAAACAAGAACTTTTTGCATCTCTGAATGAAAGGAATTAATTACTGCATCTGCATGTTTTCTTTTCTTCCGTTCTCAATTTGCATATATATCTGACTGTTATACCGTTCAGATGGCTGCCAAGGGCGGTTTACAACATTAAACAAAGATAACATAATGAACAAACATTTTAAAATAGTGAAGATAATTATAAAATCAAAATTAAACACATATACACAATGAAATCAACTAAAAATAATTAAAATAATATAAAGGCAAGGTGGTGGAACTGATTATATAAATGTTAAAACAGCCGCAGTGTTAAGATCTTATAATGTCCGGAAAGGCCTGTCTGAAAAACCTTGTTTTCAGAGAGATCATTTGAAAATTCCCAGTGAAGGGGCCAGGTGAATTTCGGACGGGAGATTGTTACAAAGTTGGGGAGCAACTGCCGAGAACGCTCAGGTTTTTGGTCTTCTCTTCCCGGGCCTCTATTGGGCTAAATATTCTCAACTGCTCGGCCTGGGAAGTTCATGTAGGGTGGGCAGAGCTAAATATTCTCAACTGCTCAGCCTGGGAAGTTCATGTAGGGTGGGCAGATCTTGTTGGAAGGAGGTGCTCTGCTAGGTATTGAGGTCCCAAACAGTGAAGGAGCCAGGCCACTGAGCCCACTGCACTCCTACACTGCACCACCGAGCTAAATCACTACCACTAACTCACCAGGGTTACTTTTGGCCAAAAGGAAAGGAAAGAAAGCATTTGAGCACCTCTAATGTATTGGCCAGAATCCAAGTGTATATTTCCGTCAGTGTAACAAAGCCATGTAACCTTCCATTGCAATTTGCCACCAGTTAAGAAGTCAGTGTAGACATTTCCTATCACAAGTCCCACAGTTGTTGTGGGACAGAAACTACCTATGGCAACTTCTTGCCCCAAATTGCTGCAGAAAATTGCACTGCAGAGTTCAGCAGCTGTAATTGTAACTTGCAGGATACTGGCCACCCTCTAACAGGGTACTGGATCAACTGTCCTGTGTAGAAATGAGTGTAGCTTTCTCTCTCCTTGTTTAGAAGTATATTACATAAAAGTGTCAAGGAACGTTTTTTCCTGTGGTGGCTCCTACATCAGATGCTTTAAATTTTCCACCAGCATACATTGTTGCTCAGTCATTTTAAGCAGCCATAAGGGTTGGGTTTGGTCCCTTCCTACACACATCATCTGTGTGTCAGGGCTGAAGAATTCTTGGCCCCCAAACATTTGGGTTCCTGCTTCCAAAATTCCGTACCAGTAGCTGGAGGGCTGAATGTTAATGAGTTCTGTCCTATGTGGTTCCTGACATGCTACCCACAGCTATTATCAATTGAGGCCAGGAGACTTATTAGATGTTCGCCAATTAGCGTGGGAGGTGCTGCAGGAGCACCAACAATCATGCCATTAAGAGAATGTCTATTATTAGATGGTTTCACAGAATTTTAAAAGGACCTTTGTTAGTGCTAATGGCAAGGTTGGGAGACAGCCTTTTAAACTTTTTGATCAAAGTGTGAATGAATTTTTCCAGGATAACCTTTGTGAAACTATTTATTTTAAGATATTTGTTGTGGATTGTGGTCTATGGTGACGTGAAATATACCAAGTTTTGAAGCCATCTCTTATATATTTAAAATACTGTACTGTGAAATGTTGCTTTAGCCTTTTGAAAAGGTCATGTTTTTAAAAATTTCCTACCCGTTTGCATTCTTAGAATTTGTCCCTTATCGGATTTTTATTTCCTATAAGTTTGTATTAAACATATTAAGTGCCACAGAAGCTCTGTACCATTTACACTGTCTGTGGTCTGCCTTTGAGGATTAAAGGCATGCGATTCTACAATGCTGTTAACGTGACAAGTCTATGATGGTTCTTATAGTAAATCATTTTATGGCTTGCATCCCTCCTTCATGTAACAGGCAAAAACGTTTTGTATGAATTTGTTTTAAAAGCATTTTCCTTTAAAAGAAAAAAGGCAATTTCAATGCAACCTGTGTATGGACTTCTCACTTAGTATTGCTCTTTCCTAAATGTGGGAGATTTGGCCATAACGTCACTCATGTCTTAGTTAGCTCTAGTCTGGATTGGGGTTGCTTTTGAAGACTGTTTAGAAATGCAATATGGCTCAGAATGATACAGTTGGGGGTGTTATGGCCAGATACAGGGAGCATATGACCTCTTGCATTTACCAGCTCCTGAAACATTTCTGAGTGCATTCTAATGTGCTGCTTACAACAACAACAACAACAACAACAACAACAACAACTACTACTACTACTACTACTACTACTACTAATAATAATAATAATAATAATAATAATAATAATAATAATAATAATAATAATAAATAAATAAATAAATAAATAATAATAATAGCAGCAGTCAAGTCAATTCTGACCCAAGGTGATTTTTACAGGGTTTTCCAAGTAGAAAATATTTAGAAGTGGTTTACGATTCCCTTTTTCTTGGAACTGTGCAGCTTACCCAAGGCCACATAGGCTGGCTCTTCTCCCAAGAAGTCCCAATGGGGAATCAAACTCCCAGCCTCTAGCTCTGCAACCAGATACCTAAAACACTGAGCTAGCCAGCCAGCTTCTTAGTTATAACATATAAAACCTCAAATTACATTAAATGGGGTAG